AACTTATTCTGCCTCGTAGATGTAAAGGATGGCGGGTTGGTTACGGCCTCTTTTCGATGTACAGCGAAAAGATCTTCTCAGACACTCAAAAGAACAAATTCGTTGTCCCGTTCACTCCAAAATGTTGCCCATTCATCATCCAGCCTTGAACTGTTGATGGATGGGATGGCCTTAACAGAAATTTAGTCTGCGTGTTATTCAACTTTGCAAAGCAGCAGCTCCAAGTGCTTTAGCCCCAAACAGCAATTTGAATTTTCACCTCAACTAGCTGCGACTTGTGGCTTCTAAAGCCGGCAGTGTTCGCTCATAGAACTGGCTACGATGTTGGCAAAATGTCCGGGAACGCAGCCAATGACGTATACGACACCGAAAGAAGGCGTATCAACAATGACAGAAATTGTCCTGGCAACTTGACTCGGTTTCGAAAACGAGAGAAACCTAATTGCAGGTATGGCAACCGAGAAGGTGCAGCCGCCTTTTTTATCAGCATACAAGTGGTCCTGTTGGCAAGGTGATCTCGCAAAACCTTCCTTGCCCCGTTTCCTCTGTCCGAGGAAATTGGTATGACTACCTTGGCAGAGGACATGAAAAAAAGTAGGCTTTCGGGGTCGCCTTGGCAACCGGATAAGGCTGTGAAACTGACGGGCCTCGGAGTCCATCGTCTTCGATTTAACGACAGCGAGACGAGACCAGCGAGACCAGACGTCTGGCTAGAATAAACCATTGTGGCCATGCCGTGTGCACATTCAAAGGCTGTACCAGCTTCTCTCCATCAATCACGTGCACACCCACAAGCCGACTCATCTTATCTTTCTCCTTCCGCTCCAAAGCGCTGGGCCCTCACTCTTGCCGACATCTTCCTGTCACTCTCGCCAGAGCGTCCGATCTGTTTGCGCAAACAGTGAATAGGGTGTATGCTCCTTGTTAGTGTGTTGTAAACTATTATGCACTGTTCAGTAGGGATGCTGGGGTTGTCGCCAGCTTTCATCTTTTTGGCTACAAAGCCTCTGTTTATCGCCCAACGGTAATTCGTCTTCTGGTAATTGGGGAAGCTGTGCCCGGATTGGTGGAGCAAAGTGGATGACTGGCCCAGTCACAATAAAGCCCTACCAACCAAAATAACTGGACAGGGTAGAAAGAAATAATTTTCTGAAAACAAATGGCATAAGCTACGTTCGCCATTTTATTGTTGGCATAAAAGGAAGGTGTAGGCAAAGAAAAGCAAGTAGCAAATCGGCCAGGCGAAAGAAAGCTTGAACAAAAGCTGAAGTCAGTCTAGGTGGTATGAAGATATGATACACTTTCCTTCGAAGTTATTACATTTCGTATAAGCTTTCTTCCAAAAATGTATTCTTATTCAGGCTGGTCTGCAGTTTCCACTACAGTTCAATGCAAATGAGGCCTAGGCGAGTGTGAAATGACATGCCAGTCGAGCCGTGAAAAAAATACATTTTGGAGGCGAGACTGGATGAAATGTAATACAATTGAAGGTAGGAATACCAAGATAGTGTGGCCTTTTGTGTGGTCGAGGTCTCCTTTCGTTGTATAGAGGTTGTCTGATCTTGTTTTCGCAAGTTGTTCATTTTGGTAGGAAGACTTAGAGGAACGCACCTTATCCGGAGTCCATTGTATAAATCATCATTTCCAGAGTAGGTCCGTGGACGTGGTACATTTCCGGACGTTTCATCGGCATCGCCAGTGATCCTTGGCAATCTTAGCACCACATAACACCTCGTCAGAGAGACAAGTGAAGCCTATCCTTTGACCAATTGTCTGCGAAACAATGGTAGTATCTATCCTGTCCTGAGCTATTCACATATCCTATATCCTCATACCTCCCATTCATTGTCACAATTTCTTATTAAAAAGTGGCTTGGTGTGACCGTTTTTAGAGGATGTCATGAGAAGTCTGCAAACCCAACGCTGGCTTTTTCACCCCCTCACTCCGAAATCCTCTTCCCATAGGTCCTATCAGAGTCTCCCTCTTACCGCAGAGGATTCGGGTGAAGGGGTGACAAAGCCAGTGTGGTATTTGGAGAACTCTCATGAAAGCCGCTCAAAAGGGCCCACCATACCACATTT